GCGCAGTATCGCCTCGAGGCCCGCGCCGCCGGGACCGGCACCTCCGTCGCATTGCTGGTCCAAGGTGTTTCTGCTACTCCGACTCTCCGGTCGCAGTGGCAACGGTGCTGCCGCCAGCTGCTGACGCCGCCGAGCCCAGTGAGCACCGCGCGTGAGTTGTCACGCGCCCTGTCTCGCCTTCCCCTCCACCTCGTTCCAGGTCGTCGATTGGCCCGAGAGTTGACAATTCTGCGCAGTCTTGCGCCGGCTGTGCCCCCCAGGGTCTGGGCTTCATTGTACAGGGCCTTGTGTGACAGCTGGACGACCGCCCGCCGTTTTGGACGTTGGGCACCTTGCCCCTTCGGGTGTCCGCGTGGCGAAGACAGTCTACAGCACTTCGCGCAATGCCCTTGCCTGGCGGAGCTAGGCTACAAGCACTTGCGTCTACCCCGCCCCGCCCCAGCGGCTCGTCTCTCGAGTTTTGTTGCTCTGGAGCCTTCATTTTCCGAGGGCACGGCCCCTCTGTTAGCTCGTCGCGCCCTGGCCGCATACTGTACATGTGCTGCCTCCTGCGCGGCGCGACACCACACTACAGCGGACGCGGCCGGCGCTTGGTGGCAGTATGGCCGCGAGGCCTGCGCAGCTCATCCGTCGCTGGCTGCCCTAGTTACCGCGGCGTGGCAAGAAACGCTTGGTTGATATCGGTGTGCTGGTCAGTCATGTTCTCCCTCCTTCCCCCCTCCCCCTCCTTCCCCCCAGCTCTGCTCGTGCATGCTGCATGTTACATTAGGTCATTTAGCCAATACTCGCTGCACCCGCAGTCTTCTGCCGTTTTGACGTTTCTCTTGGCCCCTACGTTCCTCCCGGCCCCCCGGCTACTGTGATACGATTTTGGGTGAATTCGTATCGGCCTGTGTCTTGGTTACTGTTGTGCGTATTATACAAATGGCCGGCCAGGTCATGTGGGGTGCCCGCACAACGTTTTTGTCCAGACTCCCTTCCCGCGCGTTCCTTCCCAAACGTCGTTTAAACCGCGAGTTTCACCACAGCAGGGCTGCGCCGCAGCGTGCGCCCGAGGTGCTATTTGTTTTCCTTCGCCGCTTGTGGAACCGTCCAGGAAGCAATCGCCTTCATTGGCGCGTTCGAAGTTTGAAACACAAATGCGAACACATCTTAGCCAGTTTCCCCCACTCCGGCCCAGATACTGCGCGGACCATCGGCGGGAAAACAGTCACACTTTGTTGGGAGAGTGTTCTCCTAAGCTGTGGCGGAAAGCAGCTCCTGATTGGTGAAGGCATCCTCCCTCCCTCCCTCCTCGTCCTTCCTCCTCCTCCTCCTCTTCCTCTTCCTGCCCCCTGAATGTGGTGACGTTTACCCGGCCAGCCCTGGCTCAAATCTGCAGAGATGACACGCCACGTCACGCACATGTCATATCATCGCGCTGGTTGAATGAATGGAGGAAAAACACACACATGCACACATGCACACATGCACACATGCACACATGCACACATGCACACATGCACACATGCACACATGCACACATGCACACATGCACACCTGCACGCCTGCACACCTGCACACCTGCACACCTGCACACCTGCACACCTGCACACCTGCACACCTGCACACCTGCACACCTGCACACCTGCACACCTGCACACCTGCATACCTGCACACTTGCACACCTGCACACCTGCACGCCTGCACACTTGCACACCTGCACACCTGCACACCTGCACACCTGCACACCTGCACACCTGCACACATGCACACATGCACACATGCACACATGCTCGCATGCACACATGCACACATGCTTTCATGCACACATGCACACATGCACACATGCACACATGCACACATGCACACATGCACACATGCACACACGCACACACGCACACACGCAGACACGCAGACACGCTCACACGCGCACACACAGGCGCACAGGCACACAGGCACATAGGCACATAGGCACACAGGTACACAGCACCCGCACGCGCTCGCGCACGCGCGCGCGCACGCGCACGCGCAAGCGCACGCGCACGCGCACGCGCACGCGCACGCGCACACGCACACGCGCACACGCGCACGCACACGCACACTCACACGCACACCCGCACGCGCACGCGCACGCGCACACGCACGCGCACGCGCACGCGCACGCGCACGCGCACGCACCCAATCACAAACACAAGCACAAACACAAGCACAAACACAAACACAAAAGCGTACACAATCACAAGCACAAACACCTCATACAAAACACGCGTACACACAAAGCACACACACACACACGCACACCACACACCACACACCACACACAGACACACACACACACACACAGACAAATCATTTCCGATGTCCATGCAAAGCGGGGAGAATATGGGAGGTGGAGGGGCGGGACGTGCACCCCAAAGCTACGGAGCATGTGTGGGGAGCCCTTTTCCCCCATCTCTGGTTAATTCAAGCTTCGCGCGGCCCGCTTAACTTCGACCGGAAGAGGTGCGCTCTCGACCCGCGAATCAAAAAATGTGTGGGGAGCCCTAGGGTTTGTGCCTATTCCCCAATCAGTGCTTGCACTGATTGGGGCCCTCGCGGAAGTGGAAGGACTTGGCGAACGCTTCCCGCCGATTTCGGCCGCACGCTGGCTACCCCGGGTCCCCGGTCCTGGGCTCCCAGAACTGGGCACGTGCCCGGTTCCGGGTTCCGGGCCGATTTCGGAGGGCGGCGAGGTTCCCGGGTTCCCGGGTTCCTGGCCGATCTTCTTATCGATCGGTCTCACCATCGATCTCGTTACCCACTTCCCTATCGATCTCACCATCGATCTCACTATCGATCCCATTATGAATGTCACAAGCGATCTCACTAGAGATCGCATGAGCGATTTCGCGATCGATCTCACTATCGAACTCATTGAATCGATTTCACTCTCGGTCTCACGATCGACCTTACAATCGTCCTCACTATCGATTCCACGATCGATCTCATTATAGATCTCACAATCGATCTCAAGATCCATAGTATTAATTTTCTAATCATCCACTGATTTGCGTTTCCTCAGGTGTAATTTATTTGTGTGCCCTTGAGCCCCTTCACTCCTCCTCCCCAGGCCCCCTCGCGCCGTACAAAAACAAGGCGAGCTATCTTCTCCTATGTTCGGCCTCTGGGGGCTCTCGCTTGGCCCCTGGGATAGTCAGCAGACAGCTCGGGAGGAAGAGTTTGTCCCGGGGCGACACATCCGAACCCCCTCGAGTCAGTTGGCATCGCTCGGGCCTGTGCGTTTTCTTCCCGGCGGCGAACATCGAGGAGCATCTTAGATCATGTTCGGCACAAGTCAACTCACGAAGGCGACAAGTGCACGGGGAACGGACGTGCGAGCGACGGCAAGGTCATGGACAAGAGTCGCGGCCGGAGGTGCTGCGCCAGTCTCGGTCTCTGGGGCCCCCCCTCGCGCCATCAGGCAGGCACGCCGTGCAGCCTTCTGCTGCTTCCGGCCTCGGCGAGCCCTCGCCGGGGACGCGCCGGGTCGCAGGCACGTTGTCCCCTCCCCCCGCACCCCCCCCCCCGAGCTCCACCCGCGAAGCGTGGCCGCTGAGGAACAGGGGGGAGCTCTGGGAGACACCCCAGGGGGGCCTTATGGGGACGCACCCCATATCGAGGATGGACGCCCCCCTCCCCCCCCCCCACATCGAGGATGGCAGGGGGCAACCCCCCCCCCCTCCCCCCGCAGATGCGGACAGGAGTGAGGGGGCGGTGGGGACTTCGGCAGTCTGCGAGACTCTGGAGGAGCCCGCCGCAGGCGCCAAGGTTTCACAAGTTATACAAGGAGCCCGCCGCAGGTGCCGATTTTTTCGTGAAACCAATGTGGGTAGGTCGCGGGTGGGTCGCAAATGGGTCGCGGGTGGGTCGCGGGTGGGTCGTGGGGTGGGTCGCGGGTGGGTCGCGGGTGGGTCGCGGGGTGGGTCGCGGGGTGGGTCGTGGCTGTGGTCGCGGGGTTGTTCGCGGGGTGGATCGCGGGTTGGGTCGCGGGGTTGATCGCGGGGTTGGCTGCGGGGTGGGTCGCGGGGTGGTTCGCGGGGTGGTCGCGGGTGGATCGTGGGTGGGACGACGACAACAAACAAACAAACACACAAACAAGCAAGCAAGCAAACAAACAAACAAGCAAGCAAACAAACAAACAAACAAACAAAAACAACAACACCAACAACAACAATACCACCACCACCAACAACACCAACAACAACAATAACAACAACACGAACAACAACACCACCAACAACAACAACGCAATAAGCCGAATCCTCACCACGGATCCCCACTTCAACCACGCACCCAGGGACAATGAATGACCGTTCGGCCCCCTCACTCTGACAATTACCCCAGGGTCGAGCCCCGAACTCATGGTCCAGTCGAAAGGGGCCACGAAGCCTGGGATAGGGGTCGACACGTTCCCCGTCATCGGGGGTCTGGAGGGATGGTCGCCACCTCCTTCCACGGGAGAGGAAGGGGGGGGGGGACGCTGCCCCCGGATCCCCCACCCACCCACCCACCCACCCACCAACCCCAGAACCACTCCAGAATGGTTCAGGAGAACCCCCTCGATCTTCCCCAGGTTCTTCAGATGTTTCGAGAGAAGCTCGAGGCGCAGGTCTTGCACGGCTTTCGGGGATCCGCGGGCCTTCTCGTTGGGCCCCGGGCCCGCCAGGAAATGGCTCAGGTGAAGAGCCAGCCCTGGGGAGGAGGAGGAGGAGGAGGAGGAGGAGGAGGAGGAGGAGGAGCAGGAGCAGGAGCAGGAGCAGGAGGAGGAGGAGGAGGAGGAGGAGGAGGAGGAGAAGGAGGAGGAGGCAGGAGGAGGAGGAGGAGGAGGAGGAGGAGGGAGGAGGAGGGGACCCCGTCTTGAAGAGCTCAAGGCATCGGATGTCTGGGTCGATCCACCCTCCCCGTCCTCCATCCACGAGCCTCGGGCGGAGGGGGCGGCCCCTCCCAAGTGGTGGCTCCCCCCCTGGCACTGCCTGCTCATCCCCAACCTGAGCATCAGGCCCGCGATGTCGCGGTCGAACTCGGCAGGGTCGAAGTCGCTCTTCCAGGGCAGCCAACCTGGCGTCGGCCGTTGGGCCAGGCCCCACGCCGGGGAATCGGAGACGACGTCGGCGGCGGCAGCGGCGACGGCGACAACGACGGAGGAGGGGAAGGAGGAGGGCGACGACGAGGATCACGAGGTGGAGGAGGGATGAGGGAGGAGGGAGAGGGTTGTTGCGCCTCGGCCACTCGCGAGGAGGGAGAGGGTTTAGCTGCATTGGCCCTACGTAATCCTCCTGCTGCTGCTCCTCTTGTTCTTTCCTCCACCTTCCTCCACCTCCCCCGCCATCGTCGTCGTCGTCGTCGTCGTCGTCGTCGTCGTCGTCGTCGTCGTCGTCATCGTCGTCGTCGTCCCATTCTTCCTACTCCTTCCCTCCTGAGGCTGCTCCTCCTCCTCCTCCTCCTTCCTCGTTCTCCTCTTCGATGCTTCTCCTCCTGCTGCTTGCCCTCTCCGCTCCCTCGTTGGTCGCATGTCCAAACAACCAATTTGGATCTCTTCGAGCTGGAGGCTTTTTATGCGCGCTGTGATGCACCGCATTGATCTATGAGCAATTTACGATGCGTGGCTGTCAGCTACGCAGCGTTAGCTGGGCATAGCGCCTGGTGCTCGCCCAGGGTCAGCCATACCAGCCGCGAAGAGACCAACAACTAAAACTGTGCGATCCCGTGTGGGGCGAGAGTTCAGCGGTCGAAGCGCTTGCAGGAGTCTTGCTGGGTCTCCACAAAGGTTTGACCTTGCAGCAGGAAGCCTGGGTAAGAAGCGACTGCGCCGTGTCACGCGGGAGTTGGGCGAGTGGTGATCAGGATGCCGGACTGGACGATATGCGATGAGTAGGACGATTGAGGATGACAGGGCAGGACATGCACCGCTCGGCGAGATCCATCGGCTGCTGCCTGACTCAAAAACGCAGTGGATCTCAGGTGGAAAGGTCTCCACTTCAAGAGACACGTAGCACGCGTGCTACCCCTCTTCCCCCTGCCGGAGAGGGCGGAAGGATTGAGGAGGAGGAGGAGGAGGAGGAGGAGGAGGAGGAGGAGGAGGAGGAGAAGGGTTGCGGCCAATCTATGGCATGGGGAACGCGTGCCAGGAGATCGAGATTCCCACCCTTGCGCAAGGAGTCAAAGAGAATATGCTTGGCATTGGGGTTCCTTCTCGCATTGGGTGCCAGGAGATCGAGATTCCCACCCTTGCGCAAGGAGTCAAAGAGAATATGCTTGGCATTGGGGTTCCTTCTCGCATTGGGTCAAGCTGGTGCAGCTTGCAGCACCCTATGAAAAGCCAAGGCTGGTCCAGAGTGATCGACTCCTCGACACTGCAGGATCTACCACCCCGAAGGCCGAGACTTCCTTCGGCGTTGCGTCGCACCGACACCCGCCACATGTACAGTGCAGCACGTGTAGCACTCCTCATTTCGACGTGTAGGCGTCGCAGATCTTCAAAGTGGAATCAAAGCTTATTCGCCCAGTCTTCCCGTCTTTTGAGTTTGTTCTAAGGCAGCTGCGCATACCAGACGAATAATGCGAGGGTCTAGCCAGAGATCAGAACTTTATCAATGTCGGGCTCCCTTCTTCCTCAATGGACAGCGCTCTGGAGACGGGGCGTGGAGCGCGACATTGGTTGTTCTTTTCGTCTGCTTCTGTTCCAGGCCGTGCTCAGCCCAATGCCGCTGGCACCTCTCGATGAATCCGACCGGCGGGCTGTGCGAAACCGAGTTGACATCATATGATTTCAGTAATGGCATTCGTCCAAGGACCACTTTGGATTCGGAAGAGGCTCGGGGTTCCCTAGGTCATTCGGGATGTCTTTCTTTGGAGGTCTTCTTGGATCTAGGCGCTACTGGGTCCGACATATCGCTCCGTCTCACATCTCGTAGTTTCCTGAGCAACGAGCTTTGTACAGGGTTTCAACTGTTTGAAGAGAGCTCGTTCGTACAACGCATGATGGGAAACATGCACCGCGCGCGCCGTGCCGCGCCGCGCCGTGCCGTGCCCGTGCGCCTTCCTTGGGCAACGGAATTAAAGTTGCAGCCCGTACCGTGCTGCGCCGTGCCGTGCCCGTGCGCAGTGCCTGCGCAATGTACATAATGCGAAACATGTGCCGCCCGTGCTGTGCCCGTGTGCCGTGCCTAGGCAGAACCGTGCCGTGCCGTGCCGTGTCGGTGCGACGTGCTCAGGCAATCGCATGCGAAACAGGTGCCTACCGCGCCTTGTCGTGCCGTGCGCGTGCCCGCGTGCTGCGGCTAGGCAACAGAAGGCGAAGAAATTGCTGCCCGTCTCGTGCCGCGCCGTGCCCATCTACGTTGCTTAGGCAGCAGATTGCAACACGTGTGCCGCTCGTGCCGTGCCGTGCCCGTGTGCCGTGCCCTTGTGCCGCGCCGTGCCTAGCTTCCAGACTGCGAAACACGTGCCGCCCGCGGGCCGTGCCATGCCGTGCGCATGTCCGTGGGCGTGCGGTTCCGTTTCGGATCGCCGGGTGTCTTCTCGGCCGGGCGTTGTTGTCCAGGCCCTCTGTGTCCGTGTGCTCTTCACTCTGGCCTGGCTGGCGTTTGTCTGCGCAGGAGCTTACGGGGCAAAGGCGGGTGAGTACGGCTGGGGCCTCCTCCTCGAGCGCCCGCAGTGGGCACGGCCACGCCTCTGCGAGCGGCGGGCGGGCTGGCGGGCAGGTCCGACAAGAAGCACCCCTCCAACAGGACGCGACGCCGCCGCCGTCGCCCACCAGGCCGTCATCGGGAGGAGGAGGAGGAGGAGGAGGAGGAGAAGAGGAGGAGGAGGAGGAGGAGGAGGAGGGAACGAGGAGGAGGAGGAGGACGACGACGAGGAGGAGGAGGAGGGGGAGGACGAGGAGGAGGAGGAGGAGGCGTCGTTGTCGGCCTCGTCCTCGCCCGCCGCCTCCTGCCAGGTGTGCCCTCGCGCGTGCCCCCGGCAGTCGCAGCTCTCGGGCGCCTCCCTCTGCACCCTCCTCCGTGCTTCGCCCGCCGCGCGCCCCCGGAGGGCAGCCACAGCGGGGCGCTTGGGGATCGGACCCCGCTCCTCTCCCTCCTCTCGGCGGCGAGCCCGGGGGGGAAGTGAGAAGGAGAAGGCCTCCTCAGGAGGCTCGGAAGCCCCTCGGCCTTCTGAGAAGTGTCCCAGGCCTTCCCCGAAGACACGGGACGCCGCTCTGGAGGCGCGAGGGCTTCTGAGAGCTCCCGCCTCCTGAGAAGGCCTTCCCCTTCTCGCTGACCCCCCCCTCGCTCGCCGCCGACTCTCTCCCTCCTCCTCCCCGGGCCCCCCCTCGTGCAACATCGCGACGGGCAGTCTTTTGCCGTTTTCGGCTTCTCGGGGGCCCTCGCTGGGCCCTGGGGCCGTCCAAAGGCAGCTCGGGAGGAAGAGCTGGTCCCGGGGCGACAAGCCCAGACCCCCTCGAGCAATGGAAAAATCACGACGGGAGGTGTCTCTCTATCTTCGGCCTCGGGGGGCCCTTAACAGGCCTCGGGACCATCAAACAACGACTAGGGAGGACAGGCTGGTCCTGGGGAGTGGGTCGAGATCTGTGGGGGTGCACGACGTGACAAAAATCATGACGCCAGGGGTCGGTCTTGCTCCTGCTCTTCCTCTTCCTCGTTCTCCTCGTCCCGCCCTCGTCACTCCCTGGTTCCCGGTATATTTCGGAGAGCGGCCCTCGCCAGCAAGCGCGGCAGCCTTGTGCTTTCAGCCTTCGTCGTAGTGGTCGCTGGCGCCGGTGCATCGCGGTCTGCATAGTGCGCGGTCCACTCCAGGCTTATGCTTACTCTCTCTCTCTATATTTTGTTCTCTCTCTCTCTCTCTCTCTCCTCTCGTCATTTGGTATTTGTCCAACATTGTCTCTTCTCTTTCTCTTTCTCTTTCTCTTTCTCTTTATTTCATTTCGTGCTTCTCTCTCTCGCTCTCTCTCTCTCTCTCTCCGCCTCCTTGACCCTCTTCCAACGCTGCGAGGAGTGCTCAGGTTCCCGCCATGTTCAAGGATAGCCTCTTGGCCAGGAGAATTTTCGAGAGGTCCCAGAGCAAGAACATTGAGCACGTGCAGAAACGAATCCAGGACGGGCTCAGAGGGTGGGTGAACGTTGCATGTTTTCTTGTCTGCACTGAGTATCCACAGGTTGTTGTTATTATTGTTAGAGTTGTTGGTTTTCTTGTGAGGAGTGATATGCTGCACTGAGAACTGGCACCGCCTCTCGGAGAAAGTCAGTGAGAAGTGCACGCCGCTTGCTTCCCTCGTGCCTCTTTTGGTTTCTTCTTGACGCTTAGAGTCCTTGCGCATCTTGCACGGAGTCCTGCGAACCTGCACCGCCCACGGAGTGGCGATGATCAAGATGACGATGACGGCTTGGACGACGATGACGATTTTGTCTGCCGTCGAGAATTGTCCGCAGGAGGCAGGGCGGAGGGAGATGTGGAAACCAACCGGTACCGATACCGCTACTCCCCGGACCGCTCCTGGGGTGCGTTCTGATCAGAATCTCGAGGCGGAGCCAGCGGTGGCGTCGAGGGCGCACGGAGGCCCAGCGAGGCGAAAAGCGCGGGAGGGCTAGCGGTGTGGGTGCTTCTTCTTCCCCGGGGCAGGTCGGGGGAGCGTAAGACCCGGGTTTGCCAGGACTCGGGTTCGCCATCGTTTTTTGACGACCGCGACTCGGATTTTGACGAGGAGGAGTTTTGTGGGATGTCTGCAGCGGGAGGCCTCGTCAAAATGCAGGCTCGGCCTCGTCATTTTCTTGACGACCTCGTCGGGGATTTCCGAGTCCCCCGTACCCGGGTCTTACGTCTCCCCGGGGCAGAGGCCACGTGGAGCTCTGGCCGCGAGCGTCAGGCCGCCCGTGACCCGTGGCGGCGCTGCAGAGCGCGCCAGCCAGCGCTGCCCCCGCGCAGCCCCGGGGCAGCCCGCCCCGCCTGCGCCCGCCGAGGCGCCGCAGCCGGGGACTGCAGGGGCGCGTGGACGAGCCACGGGCCCGGCCTCCGTGCGGCAGCTCGGGGCGCTCCGCCGCCGAACCTCCTCCTCCTCCTCCTCCTCCTCTTCCTCCTCCTCTCTCCTCCTCCTCCGTAGCCATTTTGGCTCAAGCCATTTTGGCTCAAGTAAAACATTTCTCGAGGCAGCTGGCCAGGTCAGCTCCCGTGGAGCCTCACAGGTGCTTCAGTGCAGAGGCTCCCTCGACTTTGTTTCACTACATACGCATTTTGCCTCTGTGTACACACCCTGTGTGCACCCTCTTTCTTCGAAGCAATGGGGCTTGCTAGAGGTGAGAAGAGGGATGTCGACGAGAAGGGTGTCAGGAGTGCGATTGCCAGCAAAGACTCTCGCAAGCGCGGCGCCAGTGCGAGTACGTCACGCCCATCGAAGCCGAGAGATCGTTCTAGATCGAGCTCCCATTCGCGTTCCAACCGGTCTCGTTCCAGCTCCAGTGGTTCAGCAAGGGTGGTGCGCTCTTCGCCCTCTGTGAGGAGACCCAGATCGGAAGTGCGCATGTATACGCCATCACCGTCTCCACCTAGACAAGAGCCAGCATGGATGGCGGGGCTGATCTCAGAGATTCGAACCAATAACCAAAAGATCAGTGCTATGGAGGTTTCGATGAAGACGGAACTCGACAACATGAAGTCCAGCCTCCAGGTTCATGATGCCAATGTCAGTGCCCTCAACAGTAGGGTCGTCGAGCTTGAGAAGATCTCGAAGGGCAGCATCACGGAAGCCGTCACCGCAGCAGTGGACGCCAAGCTTCAGTGCATCCAGAGCCAGATCGACACGCTCCAGTCCCGACCGCCGCCATCAGTGACTCCTTCGACAGCAGCTTCCTCGAGGAGTGGCAGCCACATTGGAGCAGGTGAACCAGCTGCAGATGAGTCAGATCCATATGTCAGATTTGTTGGCACCTTCCCCAGGCCAGTGCTCAAGAGGATTCGCTCCTTGCATTACGAGTACCTGGTCAGTCGATATGGGCACCTCATGCAGGACGCTGTCCCGTTCTTCCACGCCGTCAGCCAGAGCTACAAGATCACGTTCAAGACCCTCATCGCAGCCAAGCTCTTCCAGCAGACGGTCAACCAGGACGGCCTCTCATGGACGGATCCTCGCGACCGTAAGGTTCACCCGCTACGTGTCCGCGCTGACCTCCCTGTGGATGTGCGTTCTAAGAATCGTCGGGTCAGTGAAATATATCAACCCCTCAAGGACCTTCTCACTGGCAGTGACAAATGGACCCAGGACATGCGCCTGGGCGTCAACGGCTTCAAGGGCACCGTGCAGCTCATCTCGGATGAAGACGTCTGGATCCTCGTGGACCTAGTCGCCAATGCGCGCATGGGGGGGACCGTGTACGACTTCCAGCCGAACATTGCCAACCTTGAGTACTTCGGAGTCTCCGCCGAGCAGTTCAACACCATCGTCGAGCAGGCTGCTGCAGCGGCCGCCTGACGGTCTCCTCAACGGCACCATCGGCATGAGGAGCCTGGCAATCGACAACCGATTGCGGAGTCGGATACCAGCTGTATCCAGGCTCGTGGGTGCATCGGAAGTCATGGGCTGCCTGATCCTCATGTGAGTCCCCCCCAGCTGGAGGCTGGGGACAGCGCGCCTGGTGCTGCATCTGTGCCTGTCCTGTTGCAAGTTGGTGTCGAGAGCAGCGATTTGTCTTTTTCCTCTGCCCTCTCTCCCGCTCCTGGCTCCCTGCCTTTTCCCATCCACAACCAGTTGAGCATCGTGAGCTGGAATTGTCAAACTATCCTGGGGTCGGTCTTTTCTGATCAGTCGGTACTTCGAGAGAAATACACTCGTCTTCGTAAGCTGCTGTCTCGACACCAGATTGTTGGCTTGCAAGAAACACACGGTAATAATGAGGACCTTGATCAGCTTCGGAAGGACTTCAAGAGTCACCAGGTATTCGGCACATTCTGTGACACCTGTTCTGCTGGCGGTACTATCCTCTTCATCCATCGTTCCATCCTCTCCTGCTTCTCCAGGGTTGTCGAAAGTGTTATCTGCAAGGGTCGTATTATCGCTATCTCTCTCTTCTCGGACTCCTCCTCCCTCCAGATCGTCAACATGCATATCGTACCTGACTGGAGTGAAAGGATTACTCGTATTATGTTTGAGAAAGTTCGTCGTCTTCTATTGCCACCCTCTCAGTCTCTTGGTTTCGTATTCGGGGATATGAATTTCCTGGCATATGGTGAATCTCGAATGTATCTAGACACAGGTGCTGAAGGTCCCACAACGAATCGTTTAGCCAGTTCATTTTCCGCCGCCTTGCCTTTGCTTGCGGAAGTAGTGCAAGATCATGACACTCACCGCATGGTGCGCGAAGGCCGCCTCTCGCTTGCTCGGCTCGACCGCATCTACACTAACATGTGCACCCAGGATATTCTAGATCACTGTCCGCGGTCAGGCACCTGCTGGGCTGTCGCGGACACTCGGGCACCATCGGACCATGCTCCTGTATATCTCTGTCTTAATAAGTGGGCCCCTACTGGTCTCTTGAGGATCCCTACATGGATTGCCCAGCATGCCTACTACGAGGAGATTATCAAGCAAACACTGGATTGGGAAGGTCTCTCTGGAGATGTATTTACTCGGGTGGAGGAGGTCAAGGAGGTGCTAAGGTATGCGGCCCAAAAGGTGCGCACGTTCATCTCGGACAAGGGTGCCAAAACGGATGAGGAGAAGGTTTCCTGTTTTCTCTTGGTCTTGAGGGGGGCCCGTTGTGGTGACCCTGATAAAGCTCGTCGCGGGGTCCGTGGCTTCCCCAAACTGGGTGACTTTTTTGATCCCAAGATGTGTTGTTGGACTGACCGCCCAGGATTTGATACTCTGCTAGGAGACTTTATGCGCCGTATTCTTGAAGTGCGAGAGCGTGCTGAACAGGCCGCCCAAGAGTGTTCTGGGTCAGCTGATGCTCGATCTGCTGCTAATATTGCGAGAGTTCGGCGGCTCAGTCAAGCCTGGCGTACATCTAATCGGCAAGTTTACCTTCGTGCCATCACGGACGCGGATGGCCACTCGCATGAGGACGCGGATGTCTGTGCCCAGTTGCTCGCGGATCACTGGCAACCTATCTTCAAAGCCGGCACTGCTGATCCGAATCAGATTGCCAGCCTCGTTTCCCTCTTCTCGCCCATCCCTGATGACGATTATCAGTATCATGCTAACGATGGATGTATGTATCCCTGGATTCTGACCGAAGATTGGTTTTACAGTATTCTGACCGCCAAAAAAGACACGACCCCAGGGCCTGACGGTATCCCATACTCATCCTGGAGGGCTTCGGGAGACATTGGTAAGAAAGTATTGTACGATCTCTACCTTCACCTGATGCAGCTGGGGACGCTTCCTGGCAGTTTTAACGAGTGCACTGCTGCGTTCTTACCTAAGGGCTCGGCACAGCTGGGCCATGAGTCGGCGCGACAGCCTGCTTCGACGCGTCCCTTATCACTCTCGAACTGTGATAACAAGTTGCTCAGCTCCGCTATTGCAGTCCCTATTTCTAAGGTGGCGGAGGATAAGGTGGACAAGGCCCAGAGGGGCTTTATCAAGGGGGGGCAGATGTTAGACAACATCGTGGAGGTGGATTCTAATCTCACTATCTGGTCTGCTATGTGTGGCTGCAAAAATACTGGCGCGGCTTTATTTGACCTGAAAGCTGCTTTCCCCTCCATTCATCATATGTTTATTTGGGCCTGCCTGCGGGCCCTTGGCATTCCTGAATTCGTCATCGCTGCCATCATCGCCCTGTATAAAGATTGCGTCATGTATATTGTTTTCGCTGGATCTCGTAAACGCTTCATCCTAGTCGAGCGTGGTGTGAAGCAAGGGTGCCCGCTTAGTGGGATTATTTTCAGTATCTGTTTCGACCCCGTGGTCCGTCGCCTCAAGGAGATTGCCTATCGGATACCCGTCGTTCTGAATGCGTTCGCTGACGATCTTAGCGTTACCAGCTCTGACCTTATCGGTGTATTGCCGCAGCTGCTCCGCTTGCTTTGCCAGGCTGGCCTTGGGTCGGGGCTCATCCTCAACCTCTCTAAATGCCAACTTATCTTCCCTCACTACCACAC